AGCATTGCAGAGGAACATTGCATTACCGCTGTTCCACCATGGCTGGCTTGGCAGTTGCTTTTAAACAATTACAGGGGAAAAATGAAGTGTGCGTGTCTTAAAGAACCTATTAGTCCTTCTGTCACCCAAATCTTACTCAATATTTATAGCTATCCAAGATTCTGACACAAAGATCTGGCTTTGATGTCTCCAGTTGCACCTGCAGATAGCAGAAAGTTAAGAGCTAGGAAAATCCTTTCCTTATATTGTCATTCTCTTTTTTCTAGATTGCTCTAAGAGACCTGTAGCCAGAGTCCTGTTCTCATCATTCCCCTATCCTCCCTTACTGCTTTTTTATTAATCTAACCCTTGATTTAGAAAAACTCCCATCATTTGCTTCATGCAGTGCTTTGAATCTATCTATCTATCTATCTATCTATCTATCTATCTATCTATCTATCTATCATCCTATCTATGAGATTATCATAAAAACCCATGAACACATCACCCAACCTGAAAATTAGGACTTTAGTAATAACCTGTACCTAACTACTTAGTTTTCCCACTTTTGTTCCCTTGTGTCTCCCATCTTGCATATAATCTCTTTCTGATCCTATGTTTATCTTTCCTTTGCCTTTGTTTTCAATGCACTTGTATTATATCTAATGTGTTCTCAAAAGGTGTTTGTTTTGGTTGATCATAACCTTATAATGAACTTTTGGGATTTATATTTTTTAAAGCTTAATACTATGTTACTAAGAGTCATACAAATTGTAACTTATCTCTGTGGGTCACTCAGGAAAAGGGGATTTCTCTGCTGACTGGAGTGATTGACCTGAGGTACAATTACCAAGGACTTTATGTTGCTGGTACACACTGGGAGACAGGAAAGAACAGGTTGAAAATTATATCTGAGATATCTCTTTATATTTCTCTGCTTGATAGCTAAGGTTACTAGACCATGTACAAAATAAAAAAGTAGAAAAAAAAGAAATGCATTACTGACAGCTCAGATCTCCTTGGAGCCTCTGTCAGTCATTCAGGAAAAAAGATTTCCCTATTGACTGGAGTGATGAATCTTGATCACCAAAGACATTGTAGTGCTACTGCATATTTGTAATTCACATTCTGTAATAAAGGCAGAATAAATATTATTATTCCCATTTGTATACAGGGAAAAGAAGAATGTTTGGAATTATGTCTGGAATGCCTTTTAATACTTTCATGTCCAATAGAAAAAAAAAAATTAAAGGAACTGTAGTAAACAAAAAGAGCAGCACAGTTGAGGTCTCAGACTCTCCAGAAGTGGAAGTTTTGGTTACCTCAGAAGGTGAGGACTAAGTGCCAATTGTTTGGCAGTTCCCATCAGAGATCTGTGCATCAGCTATGTGGAACTCTCTCCTCCAAACTCCTAGGTTCAGGTAACATTATCATTTCCCTTTTGTTTTCCTTGTCCTAAGGAAAGTAGCTTCTCATGGCTGCTTCATTATCCGTTTCTTTTTCTCCTTTAATTTCTTTCTGGATACACAAATGTGTCAAATTCCCAGTATTAAATAATGGTTTAAAAATATCTGGTCTATTCTGTTTCCTGAATGGATCTAAAGAGACCCAACTGATAGACCAGCTCTTCAGTCTTTTCCAGATTTAGGGGAGCCCTTGACTTTGGTACATAAAGTTATTTAAATTATAGTGTTGACATCACTTCAGGATAGCATGTTTGACAGATCAAGTGAGAAGGTAGAGATAATAACTTGGCATGTAGTTGCAATGATTTTTATTTACAGTTGAAACTACAAATGTACACACAGATTCTTATGATTATTGTAGGAAGTAGAATAAGGCATGTCAACTCTAGTGAGATCAGGCCAGCAATTAGGTGGCATAGAGCTCTCCTGAGAGTACACATTGCCTCAGTTCTTCTTTAATTGTATCCTCTTTGGCACTTATTATTTCATGAGAAATATCTCATTCCTTTTGAACTTACTGAGTTTGCCCATAAAACAAAATTAACCTTTTTTTAAAATAATTTAAACATAACATTGTTGGATTTCTTTATTTATGTAACACAATTTTGTTAAATAGTTACTGGGTAACAGCAGTGTTCTAAGTGCTGAAGGTAAAGTAGTAAACAAGACAGATCCCAAACCTTCCCATTCCTGTGGGGAGAGACAAGCGATAATAAATGTAAGTGACATTTTCATTTCCTAACCTTGAAAATTTCCTAAATGAAATACCTTTGTTACCTCTGTAATTAGTCAAACAGATTGATATTCGTATGTAATCAATCCTTTTTAGTCCAAAAAGAAGATAATTGGATAGTTATAATCCATGGTGTTATAGGATCCCAGAAAGCATTAAAAGATGCATACTGCCACTTTGCAACATCCAGGGACAAATTCTTGTTAATGGGAAGTATCTATAGAAGCTAATAGTTATGTATTTTTAGTGGTAGCTAAAAAGACAACATATTAGACAGACATTTAAGGGACACAGAAATGTAGGATTGTCTGTTGATAATAATGTATGTAATAATATCTTTAATTGATACTGGTGTATAGTGTATATATGTTGGGAAAATTCTTTTTACAAGCTGTAGTCATGTCCTGTGACTGGATGTATAAAATAAAAAATAATAAAATAAAATAAAATAAAATAAAAATGACAACAATTGGGAAGATCAAACCACAACAGAAGATAGATTAAGTACATGAGACTGAACTGGTGAAATAACATTCTGTGACTTGTGACTAAAATATCGCTGCTTTTCTTCTAGGTTTTGTTGTCCAGTTTTAAGAGTTTTTGTCCTGTCTTGAGCTGTCAATAGGTTCATGTGCCTCCTATTTGAACTGAATACTAACCTGTTTCCAGGCTTTAAGTTTTAAGCAAATTTCCTTACCAATTCAAAACTCCTTTTCTTGAAATTACCAGTTGAACTTGCTATTGAAAATAGATTATTTAAGAAATTGTGTGATCAATAAAATGTGGGGGGAAAAGGAATGGAAGACAACTGTAGACACCAGAGATAGTGTGAGAAGAGGGTGGGAAAGGGCAGATGGTCAGACATAGGGGTAAATATATTTCATATATATATATATATATATATGTGAGTTTCAGGAGAAAAAAAAACCACGGAAACTTTTTTTTGAAATTAAAAAAATACATATTTGATGATTGCAGTAAGCTATATAGCCTCAGCTAGGTGCTACTTTATAGTATGTTTATTCTACTCACTGAGGTTTATGCCTAAAGTCAGACTTGTGTTCATGGATATGTATATTGTGCTTGCTACTGGAAATATTTAGATTAATTAAATTCATTAGTGAATCAATAAAATGGGGGAAAAGGCATAAAAAGCAACCATGGATACCAGACAGTGTGGAAGGAGGGTGGGACATGGCAGATGGTGAGAGATAGGGAATCAAGGATGGCAAAAAAACCCAAAATATACAGGAAACAAGAAATGGAAAATTATTTGTTGATGATAACATGTATGTTGATGGTGCTTGATTGAGCCAATATACAGTGTATTCTGGATGGGAAATCTCATTTTGTATGCTGCAATGATGTATAGTGAATGAATGTAAATAAATAAATTTAAATTTAAAAAAAGGCAACATAATAAAACAACTTGAATACTTTTCTAAGACACATTTAGTCTATCTCTGCGAGCTTCACCCTGTTAGGAAATAGGAGCTTTATGAATAATAATTTATATGTTATTAAAATATTTTGCAAAAGTTGAAAAAAATGTTCTCATCCTTAGAATCAAATCAAATCACAGATAAGGGAGTTTCTAGGTGGATTTTAGTGACTGATTAATTAACTATCTCTGTTTTGGAGAACATTGTATACATGATTGGGGCTGGTCCCCATAAGCAGAACTTCGTCTTCTCTAGACAGAACTGTAGAAACGTGTTCACACTATTTACAATACTGCTGTCTTTCTTCATTTATTAAATGAAGCCCAAGTTGGTCACTATAGTTTTATTTTATGTTATAATTAATTAAACTAGCACTTTATGATATTAATTAAACCAGAATCTTTATTACTTTAAATTGAAATCAAGGTCTATTAGTGACCATCGTTTTAGTGAGATTTTAGGGAGAGTATTATCATCTTTAGATAAAGTGTAGTTTAATCAACTCTGAAGTAAGCACAAAAAAATCTTATTGTTTCTTTAAAGATTTTAAGGATGATTAAATAATGTCCAGTCTGATAAATTCTTAATTATTATCAGAAACAACTTTTTTAGCCCCAATTTTTGTTATAGGGTATGTGTGCTCAACAGAGAGAGAGAGGGACAAAGAGAAAGTAAAAATCACCCCCAACAGGGAATGTCCATGCTGAAATTCCTTTGTCTCCAGTCTTCTCTTGGGATTTTGGGCATGTATCCACACCACATATGCTCAGCATGATTTTCAAGCCACTGCTATCATTTATATGAGATACAGTGCCTTAAGCTCTATATAACCTGCTGGCCCTAGAGACAACTGTTTGAATTCATTCATTCTACCTCCACTAAGATCTAGTGGATGGATTTTACATAACTAGGATAGTCAAGATACAGTAATGTGTTAAGACAGCTCCTACCCTCGGAGTCCTGCAAACCTAGTATGGGTGATTAAATGCAAGTCAGATAAAAATGATATGCAAATAGTAATTTATAGTCTTCAGAGCATGAATGAGTATAATTTATCCACTGTAGCAAAGGCAAGATAGATAGTATTCCTAGTATGTAGAGAAAAAAGAAAAGACTCAGTCTTTCCCTCCCTACTTTACTCTAGAAGTCATTAGTATAAGTGGGGCATAAATCCACTTCTGTGTTGCCTCTCTGCCAGAAGGAGTAGAAATGTGTTGAAAATGGTAATTTTAATAAGATGTTTCATCAAAAAGTTACAAAATTTCTGAGAAAAGAAATTTTTGGCTGGAAAGATCAAAGACAGCTCCTTGCAATGTGATGACGTAGAGCTATTTTTTCAAGTGCATTCTAATTGGTGACTACAATCTCTGATGTATGATCTCATACTGGTTGTGAGGATATTTTCTTGCTGAAGAGTTTATATAGAGCTGCCTTCATGTCCCGGTTTCTCAGACTATAGATGAAAGGATTTAACATTGGGGTCACTGCCATATACATCACAGTTATCACTGCATCCTTCAGGCTGTAACTGGTAAGAGGACGGAAATACATGCCCATGACTGTCCCATAATACAAAGAAACTACTGTGAGGTGGGATCCACAGGTGGAGAAGGCTTTGAGCACACCCTTGGTGGATGGAACTCGTAAGACTGTGGAAAAGACATGAATATAGGAGATAATGATGCATAGTAATGGCACAGAGAAAACACCAACCCCTAGGTACATCATCTTCACGTTAAAATGGATGTCAGAACAGGACAGCTTGAGTAAAGGGGTGATGTCACAGTAGAAATTGGCTACTTTGTTGTTGCCACAGAAAGACAGTCTTGCTGTGAGCAGAGTGTGGGGGAGGGCATTAGCATTTGCAACCACCCAAGACCCAACAACCAGTAGGACACAAGACCGTGGGCTTATAATTGTTACATAATGAAGTGGGCGACTGATGGCCACAGCTCTATCATATGCCATTGCAGCCAAAATATAGCTGTCTGTGTTTCCCAAGGATATCATGAAATACATCTGTGTTAGGCATCCTTCAAAGGAGATGGTTTTACTACCCAAGAGATGGTTGATTAACATCTTAGGGATGCTTACAGATGAGAAGAAGATGTCAACAAAGGAGAGGTTGGCAAGGAAAAAATACATGGGATTGTGAAGGCGACTGTCTGCGTGAATGGCCAAGATGATGAGCAGGTTTCCAGTCACTGTGATGGGGTAAATGAAGAGGAAGAGGATGAAGAAGAAATTTTCCTGTTTTTTCTGACCAGTAACTCCAAGGAGGATGAACTCTAGGACAGAGGATTGATTTTCTTCATTCATGTTTTCTTCAGCATGGAGAGAAAAATAACTGTTAGTGAAGTTACTGTGTGTATCCACCACTTTTGGCTGAAGTGAAGCTGTTTCTAAACAGATGCGTTTATTAAATCTAGAGATACATAATCCTTAGAGAAAAATTCCTGGTTATCAATGGATCTAATTGTCACTCATCCCTGAACTCTTATGTCTAAAAGTAAGCAATATATGAATCACAGGTGTCCATCTTCCCAAAGTCCAGCACTACCACCCAGATACCCAAGCTTTAATCATTTAAGAAATAAGATTCATGTTCCATGGTCTAGTGTTCTTGTTAGACCTTTGGAGAAGTCATACATATGCGACAAATGTAGTTCATCCATGATTCATTAAAAATAGAAGACAGTCTGCTTTCAAGGACCATCCAATTTGATAGAGAAATCATAATCACAAACTAACTTTGTAACACATGATAAGGAAAAGACAGTGTTTTGGAGTCTCACAAAATATACCAGCCCAAAGGGTCTACTCATAGAAAGATCAATTTGGAAATTAGGAATTGTTTCATTGGCCAAAGTCAGAGTGAACTTAGAACCTTGGATGTCATAGTTGTCTGCACAGGCAAAGGAAAATTGTAAATCTCAAGAACTACTAAATTTAGGTCCTACCAAAACAAGCCCTGTGAGTTTCCTCCTCAAATGTCCCCTTTTAAAAGCAGTCTTTCACCACCTCCTTTAATAGGTTTTATCTTTTTGGACAATCCTCTAATATGTGTAATTACAGTCCTTTCCTCTTGAATCTTCTTTCTCTGCTTAAATATTTCCTTTGATGAGTCATGCAACTCCGTAGTGGCTTCAACTGCTACAAACTCTCATGTGTATATCTCTAGAACTAATCTCTTTATTCAGCATAGTTATCTTATTTAGTTATTGTACCAACATGCCAGACCAAATTCCACACTCTGTACAGGCAACACAATATGATGGCAATATTTTCCAGAGAGGAAATCATATATTTATTATTTTTATCTCCTGCACATAGGTTATTCTGGAGTATTGTTCATTGTAGGCATTAGTGAGTTTACATTCACCATGTTTTGTTAAATCAAGTTTTATTTTTAATGTCTGAATATGTGTGTTGTTCACGAGCACAATCATGTAGTTTATCATTCACGTCTTACATCTGATCTTGTTGAGTCTTCATTTGGAATAATTATTATATATTCAGCCTTTCCACCTAGCATCTCAATGTTGTAGATTAAATCACTATAATTTTCAACATGTAATATTGTAATATTCCCATAGCTGTTTCACTGCAGCATCCCTTCTCTTTGATCCATGTTATGCTCTGAGATATACTAATTATGGCAGAGACTGCTACCTGCTCATCCAAATCGATGTTGTTGTCTTCTTTCTGAAAACATAATTATTCCACTTTTTTTTGTCTCCCTTTCAGTAAGATGTGATCATGTGCTTGAGTTCTACCCAACCCATTTTTGAATCCATTTCTGGGTTTCTACACATTCTCTTTTTCTTTCTT